GGCTCAGGCCCCTCGGTGGGGTCCTTCCTGGCGTTGGCTGCACCGCCATACCCCACCCCCCTCGCTTGTCTCATCTCTCACCAGGCGTCAGCAGGTCCCGGAAAGACCCCGTCCCCAAAGCCTCTGTGGCCACTGTGGCCCCGAGGGGGGACCCCACCACTCCTGCCCCCTCCACACCCACTGCTCGGGCCCCTGTGGCCCCCAGCACTCTACAGCCCACAGGTGGGTGCCCGGGCACAGCGCCAGCCGCCTGCCCCTCCCGCTCTGTGCCGAGTCCCTGCCTCTAGTGTGCAGCGCTGGGGCGGTAAGGGGTGGGGGTCAGCCCCGGGGAGGGCAGGGGCTTGGCTCTTAGCGCAGAGGACGCGGGGACTCCACAGCCACCAGAGTGCGAGGCCGAGGGGCCCCCAGGCCGTCTGGACCCATCTGTCCCTGGGCCCCAGCCAGGGCTTTCTTCTAGTTCTGGAATGTTTTTCCTACTGCTCAGGGCACTGAGACCAGCACAGCCAAAAGGACAGGGTGACCCAGGAGGAGGGGGCCCATGGCAGTGAGGCCACACAGTTCACCCTGCCTGCCAGCCTCAGCGCCCTGCCCCACGGGCACCCCACACCCCGCCCTGTGCCCGGCCCTCAGCAGCCGCCCCTGGGGACGGACATTTGGACACTCGGACACTCGGACACTCGGGTTGGGTTGGCTGAGAAGGGAAAGGCAGAGGGAGCCTCTGAGCGGGGTTCTAACGTGTGGACGGCCGGGCATCTGCAGGCCATGTGTGCGGCCAGGGCCGGCTTCCTGCCCCGTGTCAACCGGAACGGCCACTCCCGGGAGATGCAGCAACACCTGCTGCCCACGTCATAGTTCCCTCCAAAGACGGGACCACTGTGTGCTCGGGGCTTGGGGTGCTGGGGTGGCCCGGGGGGCCTCGCCAAACCCCGCCTACTGCACGTGCCTGAGCGGTGCCTTGCTCAAGACCCGTCTTCCCATCCCAGCCAGGAGGACGTGGCCAAGGGCATTCTTCCCAGCCCCAGCTGGGACCTTTTTCTTTCGGCCTTCTTCCCTTTTCCACGGGAGGCATTTGCAGAAGGCCGGGACTAACCAGCAGATTCAAGGACTTTAGGGGGCCTCCTGGCCCAGGAACCCTCTTTGGGGTGGAGGACGGGGCGTTGCTCTGGGAATCTGGGCTGCCTGAAACTTGTGCTGTGTTTGCCGAGCCCGTGATGGGCAGACGGGAACCAAAACCCAAAACAGTGTGGCGGGTGCTGTGTCCTGTCCTGGCTGCACATAGTGGTCTGTCTGGGTGGGGGCCAGACGCTGTATCTCGCGCGCGCGCGCACACGCACACGCACGCACACACACACACACACACACACACACACACACGGAACCTTGACCCCATCTTCCAAGCCGCTTCTGATCCGGAGCCAGGGGCGTGGGGCACGCTGCAGAGCTGGGAAGGAAGGGGACAGTCCCAGGCCAGGGCCTTGAGCCGAGGCGGGGTAGGGCTGGACCGTGAGAGTCGTGAGGGTCCCACCCCCTGGCCACCACCAGGCTGGACTGCTCAGTGAGGTCGTGGTTGGCTCTGCGCCCTGAACCCAGCGCCAGACAGCAGGGAGAAGGCGGCCCAAGGCGACAGCCCAGATGTGACCTCCGGTGCTGGGCTCAAGGTGCCCATCTAGGGGTCATCGCTCCTGTTTAGCACCTGAAACTCACACCTGGGCCCCTCATTACACCTGGATCCCTGTTAGTAGTGGCAGTTGCTGCGTCTGGTGGAGAGCGGCCCCCTCCTGGGCTCAGGGCTCCGCGACGTGGGGGCCACTGTTCCCTGATCCCACAGGCGAGGGCGTTAAGGCTTGGGAAGGAGCCACTGGGTTTTATGGGATGTAAGTGACACCTCAGGGAAGCTTTTTACCGAGAAAAAAGAAGTGGAAGCAGCAGCTGCTCAGGGCAGCAGGACGGGGGCTGGGGGTCCCCTGGCTCCAGGCCCTGCTGCTCACTCGCTCGCCCAGCGCCACCGCCCTGAGGCCTCGGGGGGCTGTGAGGTGTGCCGCCTTTAAGACCTGGCCCGCACAGCTCCCCAGTTCCGCAGGAACAGACGGGACTTCCATCTGGTCTTGGCACTGGGCGCAGGCCGCTGTTCCCGCAGCCCCCAGCACGTCCCCTGAGAGCCCAGCAGGGTTCTCCCCCCGCCCCGAGATCCCAGTCCCCAGAATGGTCCTGCGTCTCTCCAGGTGCCTCCCCACAGGGGCGTCCGGCTCCTGGCCAGAGTCCAGCTGGGCCCACGAAACGCTGGCCCAGATGTGCCTCCCTCCGCCAGTGTCAAGCTGTCTGAAGGGCAGGGGCCGCCGGGAAAAGCCTGCTCAGGACGGGTAATCCTCCCCCCCGCCGAGGTGGCGGGAGACGGCTCCGGAGCCAGAAGCCTTCGGGCGGGTTTAGTGCGGCTCTAATTAAGCCCTGGCCAGCTGGGGCCCGGCGGCCCGTCTCCTCATGGAACACCCTGACCATGTCGCTTTGATGTCTGAAGGCTCCCGCCCGAAAGTCTCCCCCGCTTCTGGCGGGTAGATTCTCCCTCTCTCCCACCGCCCCTTTAGAAGAGGGAAGACTCCGGCTTCTCCATCCCTCTGGGTTTGTCCTTTGAAATTCGGCGCAGAGCGATGCGCTGCCTTGGCTGGCCACGGCTTCCCTGGCTGTGCGTCCACTTCGTCTTGGAGATGGCGGTGTGGCATTTGGGGGTTGACTCACATTAGGGGTCCCTGGTGAACATAGGCCCGAACCAGGGGTTGGGGAGGTGGACAAGGTGGTGGCCAGGGAGGCAGGCCGGACGTTGGAGGGTGTGCTGCCCGTGCATGGGACTAGACGGGTCACTCCGAGGACCCTTCCAGACATGTGTCCTGTCTTGGCCAGAACACACGTCCCCTTCACAGCCACTGACAGTGACATCAGCACAGAGGGCTGTGGGCTGGGCTTGGACGCCACCCAACTCTGCCGTCCGTAGAATGGGGACCACACGGGGAGAGTGAAGGGCTGAAGGGCTGCCTGAAGTATGCAGAGCCCCAGGCCTGGGGGCACCCTCCACTCTGGCTTCAAGTCCACGCGTGCCCTCCGCAGGCTGCAGTAGTGTAGACGCTGCCTCTCCAGTAGATTTGGACCCAGTTCTATTTGGCTAGTGTAGACAGAGCCGCTTCTTATAGTGCTGCTCCTGGTAAGGCGCCTGGAGAATGTGACATGTCAAGACGTCCCCAGGGTACCCCCGAGTGTGACTTAATTTCTTCTCTTCTCTCCCCCAAGAGTGGATCAGGCCGTCTACAGCTGCCCCCCTTGGGGAGGGCCCCCCCTCGCCCCAGGTGTCCTCCAATGCAGAAGGTAGGGGGGAGCCCCTTCTTTGACCTGCAGGCGTCAGGTGTAGGTGGGGACCCGGGGTGGAACGGGGTCTGAGGGAGCTGTGGAGAGGGGCCTCGGAGCTCTACCTGTCTCACCCCCGCCTCCCTTCTGCTTAGAGAGGCCAGTGTGCCATCACCAAACTCACCCCCTTTTGATCCCACAGCTCCCCAAGGGTTTAGGAGCCAGGTGGAGAATCCTCTCCTGCCCCTGGTTCACAGGGCACGCTGGGCAGTGACAGCTCAGGGTCAGAGAGGGCTTCCTGGGGGGCTGACTCTGAGTACGTGGAGGGGAAGGAAGCGTGCTCCAGGTGACAGGCACAGTGAGGCAAAGGCTCGGCAGTGGGATGGCAGGGAGCGGCCGACCTGACAAGGATGATGTGTTGGTTAAAGGCTGGGGTGCTGGAAGGCACTGGTACCCAGAGTAGAACCTCATTCTCCAACTGCAGTGGGAGGTGACATGCGTGGGCTCCTTTGTAGCTATAGATGGACGCACACAGGAGGCACACGGGACCTGCCGAGTTTCCAAAAAGGGAAGCTGTCCCCATCCCAGCTCACCTGTTCCCTGGACAGCCGGCCCCAACGCCCAGTTAGGCAGCGACCAGGCCCTACTGCACACCTGGTACTTCCCGCACCAGCTCTGCACTGTGAGGAGGGCTTTGAGTGCCCTCTGCTGGCCAGAATCGGAATCCACTAGTGAGGGAGGGTCTGCAGTTCCCAGCCACCTGGAGGCCTCCTAGCCGGACAGCCTCCCCCCGGGGATGGAGACAGAGCCCATTGGAGCCATTGCCTCACTGCCCTGTCGTGGCCCGGGCAATACAGACGCCCAGAGGAAAGCCGAGGGGACGATGCGCCCGGCACGGTGGCAGGTCCACCCAGCAGTGTGGGGCGGGTTGTGGCCAGCAGAAGGCAGGTGCTGTCTGTACTCACAGCTCTACAGCGCCTGCCAGCAGGGAAGTGGCCGCAGCAGGGAGATTGCTTCAGGAAGGAAAGGAGATGCCAAGTCTTGAATGCCAGGTTCAGACTCTGTGTTTGATGCTTGCGGGCGTTTGGGGTGGGGGAGAGGAAATGCGATGTTTTCAATAGGCCCCCAAATTGCCCAGCTTCAGCATAGTGCTTAGCAGGGGACGCTGGAGATAGAGAAGTCATATGGGACGATTACTCTATCTAGATGTGTAGGTGGTCTCTGAGGGGGGACCGAAGGCAGAGTTGGTCCTGCATGCTCCTGGATGTGCTATGTCACCTCAAATCTGAGCAGGCGACAGAGCTGCCCCAGAGCTTGTCGGGGCCCCTTGGGAGGCTTTGTTGGCCTTTTCCTGGGCCTGGGCAGCCCACCTCGGGCAGCTGGACCATGGCTGATGGAAGAGTGTGTTTCTCATCTCTCCAAGCTGCGGGCACCTCCGCCACTGCCCCCACCCCCACCAAGGCCTCCAAAGCTTTCCAGCTCAGGCCCAAATCTCCTCAAGTGATGCCTATTGAAGAATTCCAAGGTAAGAGGAAGGCCCAGGGCCGGGTCAGCCCTCCTCCATCACCGCTCCCCCCTCCCAACCCCAGTGCAGGACGGAGGGCCCATACTAAGCTCAGAAAACCCTCCCGGAGTAGCTGGGTCAAGGTGAAACCCAGCCTCTCTTCCCTCCAGCCCGCCGTCCCCAAGGGAGCTGGGAGCGGGTGTGAGTCAGAGGCACAGTGGGCAGCACAGTGGGGCAAGCAGAGCGGCTGCCAGAAATAGCCTGTTCCAGCTCCCCTGGGAGGTGTGGCCCAGGGGCTCGTCGTGGTTGACACACGATCTGGGACACAGGGGTCACCGACACTCTTCCTTGGGACACTTGGAGGATGCTTCGACTTCTCGTCCCTGGAGGGAAGGGTGAAAGGGGCAGGTCCAGGAGGCCCATGGTGCGGGCACGTCTCAGAGGCTCATTTCTCCGAGGTCGCCCATGCCCTTGACCCCTGACCCCTAGTCAGTCCCTCCCTCTCCCATCACAGAAGGGAGGTTGGGTCCTCTAGAGATACACAGATGGTGTTTCGAAGAGGGTGGTCGGCGTTCTCCTTGTTCGGGGGTATCCACACTGGTGTTCCTGTTCGAGGGGGTGTTGAGCCCCTTAGGAGAGACGCCAAGAAGTGGCCCCCCTTCTGGCATCAGGGAAGGTGACCCTCCTCACTGAACCCCACCTCTTCATGAAGTGAGGAATCTACCTCCAATCCCTAGGGCCTTGCCCCAGGCGGTCACAGGACTTGCTCGGTCCCTGGAGCTGATGTAGGGCTGGAGGAGACGGCAAGGTGGCACGGAGGTGGCTGTCCTCCAGTTAGAGTCAGAAGCCGGGCCAGGACTAGGGAGAGGCAAAGTGAGAAGGCCCTCTCCCTCTGGTGCCAATCAAATTTGCAGAACGGCTCAGGCTGATAAGAATGGGCCCTGCAGGTGGCATTTTCCCTTCCGAGCATCTTCCAAAGCAGCATGGGGAGGAAGCTCCTGGCCATTTCCATCCCATCCAGCTTTCATGCATGCACCCATCCTTCACTGAATCGCTGGGGACACCGTGGTGAATGCCACGAACCCAGGCGCCGCCCTCCCTGAGCTCACAGTCGAGTGGCATGACCCAGCCTACCTGCATGAATCATCCCTAACCACCCCGGCACGGGGCGGGCATCCTTTCAAGAGCACCTCACCCTGGCACCTGGGCAGGCCGTGGGCAGATGCTGCTGCCCACGGGTCCTCCCCAGATTCCAGCCGCAGGGCCGGGTGGGCATTTGTGGGCTGGATCTACACCGGTTCTCCTTTGGGCTCAAAGCTGGCAGGCCCGTCTCTTCTCCTGGGGTGCGGAAGTGCTGGAGGCCCAGGGCGCCTTCCTGTGCCGGGTCCCACACCCTGCATGTCCTGGGGCGGGTCCCTGCGCCTCAGCTTTCTCAGCTGCACAGGGGAGGGGGCCGCAGGAAGGCGCCATCTCCCTTTGCTCACTGACCCTGTTGTTTCTCACGCTCGGCTGGCCCAGACTGCGAATGCTACGGCCACTCCAACCGCTGCAGCTACATCGACTTCCTCAACGTGGTGACCTGCGTTAGCTGCAAGCACAACACGCGGGGCCAGCACTGCCAGCACTGCCGCCTGGGCTTCTACCGCAATGGCTCCGCCGAGCTGGACGACGAGAACGTGTGCATCGGTGAGCTGGGCGCCGGCCGTGCCACGGGGACGCCACGGGGGATGCCACAGGGGCACGACACGGGTGACGTGGTGGAATGGGGCGCAGAGCGCGCGGCAGCAAGGCAGAGTGAGGTCAGAGTCCCCTGGCAAGGCTGGGGGAATGCCCACACCGTGGCCCACTCCGCCCGGCTGGCGTCTAAACACAGAAGCCTCCTGAATCCACTCTCTAAACAACCTCCCCCAAGTGTTTGGTTCTCCCCCAGGCACCAGTGTTTCAGAGCCACTAGTGAGAGGCAAAGACTGGGCTCAGGCCTGCCCTGCTGTGTGCATTTGGACAATTCCCTTTGCATCTCTGGGCCTCAGTTTTCCTGTTTGTAAAATCGGGGGGTGGATCAATCGAAAAGTTTTCAACCCTTTTTCTGTGGCTGAAGCCGCAAAATTCTTCATATGAAATTCTTCGAATGCTTTATAAGCAGAGCCCAGCTTATAAAGCTGCCCTCTACCCGCAGTGGGCACCTGGAGATGGAGAAGTAACCCTGCTCCAGCACTGGCTTGGGGGTGCAGAAGGAAATCTCCAGGGGCCCTGGGCCTGGGCACGGGCAGCCCATCCCAACAGACCAAAGCTGTGGTCCCCAGCCAACACCCGCCAGCCTGGAGGAGCTGCCCACCACCCCTGCCCTGTCTCCAGTGGAGGCCGGGTCTCGACCCTGGTGCCCAGGCCCCCGCCGACCCCACTGCCCATCCCCCAGCCACCAGGCCGGCTCTGGAGGAAGGGCCGCCTGCAAAGTTGCAGCTGTCAGTCCGAATTACAGCCCGGGCCTTCAGATAATTCCATCAACTCTAAAGTGATCCAAACAGAATTGTACTGCTGGTGTGACACCGGCCAGCTGCAGGGGCAGGCTGGGCCTCTGAATCCGATTAGAGGTGCCCCTCCTCCCCCGGCCTCTGTCTGCCTCCAGCCCCGCGCCCAGCGCTGCAGGCCCAGCGCTGTGCTTCGAGGACTCCCAGAGTGGGGACATTTGCCTGCTTGCGTAGAGCAGAGGCCCCAGGAAACCAGCTGGGGAGGAGCAGGGGAGGTGGCGGCCTCTGGAGCAGCTTTTCCACCCGCCCCCGAAAGCTGTAGGGCTACGTTCCCCCACACACACACCCTACACCTACCACAGCACCGGGCACAGAGGCCCCACGGCCTGTGATGAGGCTCCTCCCCACTATTAGTGTCACGCTCGGAAGGATCTGTGCCCACTTCAGTCACAGATGCGGAGACGGAGGCCCAGAGCGGGGAAGCGGCTGGCCCAGGCCACACAGCGTAGAGGGGGCGTGGTAATGGTTGTCAGGGAACGCAGTCGGTCATCCCTTGAGATCTGGACACCTCAGGCAGCTCCCACCCACCGTCCAGCCGCGGGCTCACGCGGACAGTTTGGGGAGTATGGCCCGGAAGTGCGGAGACCCTCCTGGGAGGGAAACGGGGCTGGGCGGGGTGGGGTCGGAGCAAACGGCTCCCACAAGTCGCCCTGACCGCACGCCGTGCACGTGTCCGTCCAGAGTGTAACTGCAACCAGATCGGCTCCGTGCACGATCGGTGCAACGAGACCGGCTTCTGCGAGTGCCGCGAGGGCGCGGCGGGGCCCAAGTGCGACGACTGCCTCCCGACGCACTACTGGCGCCAGGGCTGCTACCGTGAGTGCGCGCC